ATTATAATATGTTAGTTGTAAAGCGGTTGTAAAGGAACTGCGAAATGACATCATCTCGCGAAATTTGTCTTCTAACTGCTTTTCTCAAATTTATCAAAGGGGCTAATTGTTCTAACTAATGAAGAGTAAAGATAATACTTCTACATACTTAGACACTTTCAGTAACAGATGCCTTCACACAATAATTGAGTCCAAATGACCAGCTGGAAATGGTTAACGACAAAGAAATTTGTCAAGAACCTCACTGCCCAACAAATTTGCCAAGAAATTCGAGAGAGAATGGACATAGGACGAGAATAACACTGAACGACATTACACGTCAGGAGCTAAAGTGAGAGCTGAGCAATGAAGCGAGGAGGATGACACGGATAAAGCAGTATGAAGAGGAGGACATGAAATCGGCTGAAGCGAGTGGAGTGGAGATGCACCATTGGAGCTCTATGGACCGGGCAAAAAGCCAGGAATAAACGATTAGTAGCGTCATCTGGGGAATAATGATAACATCCGAAACGAAGGGTGAATTTCGCCACAAACAGTCAATATGCATCACTGAACTGTGAGAAAATTGAGTTGAAACACTTCATGTCTTGTCTAACATCGACAGAGCAATAAAATGAACTATTGGGATTTGAGAGTAAGATCTAGTGATGTTTAAACAGCCAGTCAATCAAAATGAATATCTCAGAAGCACCAGCAAAAACATTTCTCATAAGCAAATTAGACGATGCGTTGCATGCAGGGTTAATAGAATACATGAATAATACTCACATACAGTGCTAAACACGGAGTTTTTATTGTCATTATTATTATTATTGACTTTGTTTCTTGAATTCCATATTAGTTTGTTTATTAGATGTATCACACAGTGAAACAGTATTGTATAATAGTATTGTATACTATTGTATACGTTTCGAACACAATATATCGATCATAATCATATCAATTGTGGTCACACGACTTTGAGATTTGAGTTTTATAGTTTTCTTTGTCGTCTCCTATTTGTCGTATAGGCAGTAGAATTTTTCATATATCTGGGACAGGTGTTGAATCGTGGGGTGCGATCATTTGCCGTGTACCCACTGCGACTCAGCACAGACAGCCGAATTAGTTCAGACCATCCAATTTATGGCTAATCATGTAGACGAACTGGCAACATCTTAATACAAATTCGCAACTCATAAATTAATTGGCAATTTGCACTTTACACTACTAGTCGATTTGAGTGATATATTATTACGCATTTCATCTAATCACTAGAACATAGTTCTACGCATTCATGCTTACTTTCACGAGTCCCTGTTTATGATATCACGCAATTCGTATATTGTTATCTGGGTAATTTCGGCTTGTGAAGTGAGCTATAGTGAAATTCCATCTCTCCGAACTGTGTAAATAGCAGATTTCAAATTTGATTTCAACTGTGGCATACTGTTTAACTTTGCATGAGGATCAGATGAAAGTAAACTGAAATACCTGTACTGCATATGAACACATTGTTCAGAATGAATCTACACGTGGCTGGAGCTGTTGCAACAAGATAGACTTATTGGGAACTTCGTGTTCGAAAAGAACACATTGTGTCGCTGTTCCTACCGTGCCTAAACTTTGATTGAAGTTTCTTCTTTTCACGATGATTGCCTCTTCCTTCCTCGCTCTTGGATTTCTTTTGCTTTACTCATTGCTACAATTATTGTTATTCGTCATTATTTATACTCTTCATTAGAAAATTCTCTCAATATTATCGATTATCCATTTACACTATCCGGGCTTTTTATTATTGGTGGTTTCATCTCTTTTCTCAACATTGGTTATTTCATGATGAACCTCTCGTCACAGTCCTACTATCCTCTCCTCTTTAATACACACGTGTTGTACTAGTGACTCACCCCTGACACTTTTTTAAGCTTAGACTGAATTTCCAATCTAGCCTACCGCTCTCCATATTCCACGAATCTCTTATGTCTAATCGTCACCGCTGTCTCGCATTTCACAATACTTTGTAGTTGAATTCATTCTAGCACGACGTTTCTCACACAAATACTATTTATTTTGACACCCTATAGGTACTCATCTTTTATTCCAAGTAGAAATATATCCACCAACGCTTAACTACTAATTGGCTATCATTATTGTGTAACGACAACAAATATATTCTATTTTATAATTATAAGATCCTGTAGAGGGGGAGGATGTATTGGAAAAAATATTCTTCTTTCAGATGGACTTTGAATTCATTAGATGGGAATATTTCATACTAATAAATCTTACTATGTTGTACATCAAATAAGATGTATTTATATTTTGCATAAAATTTGAATTCGTCTCTCTAGTTGTTGAGAGTTTCAAATAAGGCAACTAGTATTTCTGTATGTTTATGCTGTTCCTGCAGCTGGTGATTTGCTCACTGAGAATGCTGGCGATTTTAATTTCAGTATTGTCGAGGCTGTTGTTGTTTTTGTGCATTTCTCGCATAAAAAGACTGAAAATACGTCTTCATTAACTTGAAAGTAAAGAAAGACAGTTTTAATTGGAATCTGAAAAGCTGATTTGTCGTTAATTGGATAGCATATGCGTTTAACAAAAGTTCGATCGGTGGTAAGCATGAAGTTTTTAAACTGGTAGTTTTCTTAAATTTTGAGTTTTTACAGAATTCCTTTTTTCTATACGGGTTATCTAGATGACGGTTTGCTTTTTGATCAACTTCTCAGGGTCTTTCAAAAAGTAACTGGCTAAATTCTACTGTTTATTATATCGTAGTCTAACTTCTCGAGTCCATCTTTTTATTCAGTTAATCATTTTTGCTGAAACAGTAGAAGGGAGTGTGAATAACCAACATCGTACATTAATTTTTTTTTAACAGGCTGGCTGCGTCTTCACTTTGTTGAGAAGTATTGAGATGAAATCTATCTTGTTTGTAGTGTGTCCATCAGGTGAAATCCATGTTGCTTTGTGAATATCCTTGTGTTTGCACATGCTGCCTCCGATCATCAAATCACTGAAAGCGCAGAAGTCCGCGAAGTGTTCCTCATTCTCATTCATTTCTTGGAGTGAGAGCCTCTCGACTCATGATCAATTCTCTTCCTGCATTATCTGCTCCCAGTTTGGCTTACATTCATATCGCCCATGAGGATTTTGATGTCACCATTTTGGATGTTGTCCATTATTGTTTGCAGTTGTCCGTAAAAATCTTCCTTGTTCTTTTGCTCCACGTTGTTTGTAGCACTGTTCGTAGCGTTGGATAATCGTCACCTTCCTTTCTTCCTCTTAAGTTGAATCTTGCTGTCATGATCCTGTAAGATATAATCGCTGCCACTGGTGACATCGTGATAGCCAATCACTCAGTCTGTTCGTGGTTCGTCTGGGTGACTGGAGTAGATTACTGACTCTGCAGTTGCAATTTTGATAGTCTGACGAGTGTGTCGTCAAGGTGTGGGTGACATGGAGGAGCTGATGTGTTATGGAGAAGGTGGGAGATTATGGACAATCGTTGGTCTGACCAGCAGAATAGGAAAATTGAAAATAGAAAGAAGTGCAGATGTATTTTTGTAGCCCAATGTTTCACTCGGAATCCAAAGAAATAATACTAATATTAAAATATTAATGCAATTATGTATATATTAAGTTATATGAGTAAAAAATTATGCGTGAAGAAATTTTAGAAATGCCGTCTGATGACGATCTACTCCATACATATTTAATCATCTATTTATTCTATTCCTTTGCATCCATAGTGGAACGAGGGAATTCATGCTCTGACCGTTGAATTTTTAGTAACTAAGTTGTTCTTTATTTTGCGAAGTGGGGTCGCTAGCTTGACACTCAACTTTCCCTCTTCATCGGTCTTATTACCGACCGCGTAATGCTTGCGACGGTATCAGCAGGAAATCGAACCCTGGACTACGTGGGTGGTATGATAGTGTCCTTTCCCTGGACCAACGATGGGATTTGTACATGTAACTTAAAACGCTCCAAATATAACCTGCTTCCTTTCGAGTTATTTAATTAAATTCATTTTTTTCTTAGTATTCAGTGTTATTGAGCAATTTCATCATGGTGAAGTTTTATCTCTAATACTGAAGATTTCTATTCAGTAGGCAGAATACGACATCCGAATTCTTAAATTAAAGGTAGATACGATACACACAAACACTGTGTAACATCAACAATGACAGTAGGTATTGGCTCTCGGTATTTGTTATGTTTTGTGAAAAGGCATAGGTTCTCACTCTATGCGAATTACTCCTCACATCTCGAGGCTTTGCCTTTTCAAGCAAATTTTGTACCTTTAAATGCATATGGTAGTAATTGCTGCCTTAGTTTGCATTTATATGAACAGTGCGTTGCAGTAAAAGCCCACAAATGAGTATTCTCATTGATAAAAGCAAATGGGAACATTTTGTGAGCGGTTGAAACGTCCTCTTGGATGAAGATGCTGATTGATCTTTTTGCCTCTTTAGTTTATTATGTAACTTTTTCGCCATTGCATCCAAGCTTCTTTTTTTTGTTTAAACTTGAGCTTTTTGAATACAATTCATATAAATGTAATTTTTGAAAACTACTTCCTTAGTTTTTGAGTCTCCTGTCAACTGACGTTATATAACACTTTCAAGTTTGTCAAAATTGTTCTGTACGTAAACTCAGTAATTTCTGTAGACTGTACTCAACCGATCAGAAGTCGACGAAACAGATGAAGGTACTATCTTATTCTGCACAAACTGTTGTTCTTGCTTTACTTAAACTCATCAAGGGGAATAAGTATATGATATTTCAGTCGTTTATGTTTTATCGTTGTAACACTAGCCCAGGGTAGAACATTTAGCGATAAATGGTTGGAATTAATAAAGACAAAATTTGGGAGCTCAGTAACGCCTGCAGATAATCTTCGTCAACCAGGCGGTGCTACTTTACTGAGACAGTCAGATAGTTGGCAATATATGCAGTAAGAAAATTCATTTCTAAAGAAGTTCGTAAGTCTGATGAAGCAGGATCATATATAGAGCCTTCTTCAATGTCAGAGATTCAATTAGCACATATCAAAACACTATTGTTTTAATGTGATACGTTTGAACAGTCTAATGATAATAGAATATATCAGAAGTTTTAAGTGAGTTTTATTGACGAAACAGTACTCTCCATATAATACTGAGGGTTCTTGTTGGGAAAACTGCACAGTCTATTTCCGAACACAAATTAAAAACAAGCAGGAAATTTAAATAAAGTAGAATTTAATGAATTCACCAGACTATGATAAAATTGCTAAGCTGAATTCTCAACGTTCAATGCTGTGTATATACTATGAGAAATGCATAGGGACATGTGTGGATGATAAACAAGCTACAGTGAAATTATCATATGAAACCGAAACGTGAAAATGTTTTACAGGTCATGTTCAAATAGACAGAAAATAGAAGAGACATAAGAAATTGAAAATTAGGATTGTAATGGAAAACTCTTTCACAGGGAAAGAGAAATTCAGAATTTCGGGAATTACGAAATGAGAAATAATGAAAACGGTATCTGAGAAACAGCTTAAGATTAATTATATAGACAAAAAGTCGTTAAAACAAAAATGATATTAGGAGAGATAATCGAATAGAGCAGTAATAACATATGGTAGAAGATACTGCAATACCAGATTCAAATTATCATTACCTTCTGTACACAAATACCAGGTTTATAGATCCTAATTGCAAAAAATGCTGAAATCCAAAACATCTTTCTGTCTTTGGACTTCTGATAATAATGAATAACTGGAAAGTATCAACGCGTTGCCCGTAGTCTTCACCTTGGAACTTTCTAGTATCTTGACGTCGACGTTTTTTAACCACTTCGACAGTTTCTCGATTGGAACTGACTTTGTAGATATTTCGAATGAGTCTTCATAATCCTTGTTATTCACTTTATTTTTGAATGTGGATTTCAGTTGTTCAATCTTATATCAGATGGCAGCAAACTTACTAATAATTCTGTGGATTTCTTCTCGTCAACAGAATCTACTAAGGGTTATCTCATTACTTTCGCCCTCCTTGTTGTAACCAAAAGGTGTATACAAAAATGTTGAGGAATGACCCAATTTTTAAGCATCGAATGTTGAAAATACGATGATATGTAAATCTTCTTTCTCTTTGTGATAATCATGTGAGTTTATTGACTAGTCTCCGGTCACGAAGACCATATGAATCATTAACGTGAGTGTAGAACTTGGGTATTTTGGTAAAATGTAATTCCGTATTTGATAAGTCTATTTTAAATGTCACACAGTGATGCAGTATTATTAATGTTATTATTCTATGATCCAGTTGTTAGTACTGTATCATCACTGTGAGTGATATTCAAAATAAACTTATCTAATATGGAATTACATTCTACCACAATACCCAAGTTCTACACTTACATAATAAGTTTCTGAATTTTATTACTTTGACCAGGTTTTATAAACGTTTTACTGAAATAACCATGATCTTCAGAATATATTATTTTATCTGGAATGACGAGTCTTCAATCTGCACCCCCATCATCTGATATTCATCTGAAGATACGTTTTGCTGAGCAGACGATGGATTTAAAGATAAATAATTCAACGTTGCGTTGAATGATGAAATAGTCCATCTGACCAGATTAAAATTAGATAATTCTATCCTTTTTGAGCCGTATTCAAACAAAATCTACTTAGTGCTGAACGTTACGGTTGTTACAACCTGGTAACTAGTTGACGATTAGTAATGGCGATTTTTCATAATATCCTTCAAACTAGCTTAAGGCTGAAATAATCCACAGTTCAGAAAAAAATGGATGGAATCTTGTTTTTAGTACTATCGCTACTGAATATGACACGGAATGTTCACCAAATATAAGCAACGAACTCAGTTCTAAGAGGAAGCATTTTAAATTCAATATTATGCTTAAAACAATTGACACAACAGAGTTTTTTTAAAAACACCATTCGTTGGCCAGTCTATCCGTGTTCTCTTCAGTTTTCCTATGCTTCTGTTGACAATAAAGACGTTGCTTGTGATGTAGCTGCTTTGAATTCTCCAAAGAAGACGTCCTCCCAATTATCTTTGTTCAGGTAACATTTCTGAATCCATCCCCAAAATATTACACTAAAAGTGTTGTTTGTGAGTGAAACATGAGTAAAAAATGTCACTTAATAGATGCATATTACATGAAAGAAAATACCGTTTGTCAAAACAGTCCATTGTTTACATACTTTCGATATGCTGATCAAGATTTAAGAGTCAGTGTATAGAGCTTAAGGGGTTTTCCTAAACATGCTTAAGTCTCTGTGGTGATTTGCGTGTAGAAAATATTTTGAGTTTATTAAACATATGCTTGACATTAGTGTGACTTGACCACCTTTTTTGTGTTCATATCTTTAGAAACCACCGTTTATTTTCGGAGGAAGTATACTTAAAATAGACGTATTTAAAATGCAGTCTGCCCTCCAATTTCAAGGTTATTTATCATATTTCATTCTACCTTCCTCATGCTCTGCGAGTTACAATTTTGCATACAGCATAAGCAATCGGAATTCATCTGAACAAGCGAAATCCCAGTGTTTGAAAGAGATTTGTGGCGACACCTTTATCTGACTGGCTGGCTATTACTGGACAGTACGCACTGTAACTATCATTTGACTTTGTTATTTTGTGATTCATATTCTAGCCAATTTGTTCGCATCTTCATATTCTTACATAATTCTTCTTAGCTATTATTATTTTACAGATTTCAAGATTTCGTGTAACTTGTTCCTAACTCCTAAGAATTAACTGATCTCGAATTCTGTAATAATTATCACTTCGCCTCCAAAATTCAGATATCTGGTTGCTAATATCTACTGACTAATTGATTTATGATTTTTAACCTCTAATTTTCATCCCTCCCCCGACACACTAATAGTGATCATTCTTGCTGACTCACACAACTACATGACTAGTGTAATTTAGATGCATATAAATATGTACCTTGGTGAAGAGCCGATGATAAGCAGTTAATTGAAAAGGAATACAAGCCTTCGCTCAAGTTGTTGTCTTTCTCAAACGACTTAAGGAGAAATAGAGAGAGAGTAACTCAAAGCGGAAAAAATACACGTCACCTAACAACTATAGCCAATCATATAGTGGTAAGAATAAATAGGTCAACATACAAAATCCATCCTATTCTTGATTCATCGTTTCTCATTATCGGTGAGAGATATTATAAACGCAGTGTGTGTCTGCTGCTAACACTCTTTGTGAGACTGACGATAATATATTATTATTATTATTATTGTATCTTTAGTTCCTAGAGGAACATAGGGCTTCAGCTGCGCACCTCCATTGACTTCGGTTTTCTGACAACTTTTTCACCTGCTCCAGGTCTGTCCACATGCTTTCATCTCCTCGCATGACCTCCTCCAAGTCACCCTTGGACGACCAACTCGCCGCCTCCCTTTCGGGTTCACTCGAGGGCTTGTCTAGTGATGTCACTTGATGGTTTCCTCAGCGTATGGCCAATCCATCTCCATTTCTTTCTGCCTATTTGTTTCACAATCGGTTCCTGATTGGTTCGCTCCCAGAGATCCCTGTTGCTGATCTTTTCTGGCCATCTGATCTTGAGTATTGAGCGGAGACAGTTGTAATGAAGGTTTGAAGTTTGTTTGAGATGCTCTTTATGACTCGCCAAGTCTCTGATCCGTATAGTAGCACTGACTTCACATTGGAGTTGAAATCCGGATCTTATTTTTGATGCTGATTGCTGTTGACCTCCACACAGATTTGAGAGTAATGAAAGCTTGTCTTGCTTTTCCGATTCTGGCTTTGATGTCCTCGTCAGTTCCGCCTGTAGTTGAGACGATGCTTCCCAGGTAGGTGAAGGAGGTTGTTTCTTTCAGGTTCTTCCCATTTATGCTTATTGTGGTCTGTTGTTGTTGATGTTGGCTAGGAATCTTCATCTCTGTTTTATCTATGTTCACGTGAAGTCCTATCTTTGATGCTTCTTCTGCCAACTTGTTACTTTTCACTTGCATATCTTCCAGTTTATGGGAAATCAGACATATATCATCGGCGAAATCCAGATCCTCCAAGTCTTTTGTGTCAGTCCATTTTATGCCTGTTCCCTCGTTGGTTGCCGTTGTCTGTCGCATTATCCAATCAATTGCAATCAGGAAGATCATTGGTGATAGTAGACAGCCTTGCCTCACTCCCGTCCTCACTTCGAAGGCTTCCGTAAGTTTCCCGTTGTGGATTACTTGGCATGCAGCATTGTCGTATAACTGTTGGATGAGGTGTATAATTGTCGATGGGACCCCGTAGTAGCGAAGTAGTTTCCAAATGACCTCTCGATCGACGCTGTCGAAGGCCTTTTCAAAGTCGATGAAGTTGAGATAGAGAGGTGACTGCCATTCCAAGCTTTGTTCAATGATGATCCGTAGAGTGGCGATTTGATCAATACATGATTTGTTTCTCCTGAATCCAGCCTGTTCCGGACGAAGTTTTTCATCTAGGGCTTGTTTGATTCTCTCCAGGATGATGCGACTTAGTATCTTGCTTGGAATGGACAGAAGCATAATTCCACGCCAGTTTTTACATTGACTTAAGTCTCCTTTCTTTGGAAGTTTGAATAAGTAACTGTTCTTCCAATCCTCGGGTACTTTGCCCTCTTTCCACACCTTCTCCAGTAGTGGTGTCATCAAGTCCGCTGTTGTCTCTGTCATATAGTGAATATAGGGAATTGGGGAATAACTTTATGAATGAATTGTTACTCTCAAACTTAACCTTATTATTTTTCACCTTCTCTTTAAAAAGTCCAAGTTTCCACCTTTGTGAGTCAAACTGATCATAACAAGAACACTTGCCACAATTTCTGGTGGTAGAGTGGATCTCACTTAGTTTCTCTATGATCCCATTGATGTTTTTTTGCGTTATCAGATAGATATTATCCGTATGGAAACATAAGTATATAAGCTAACCCCTAAATATTTTTCTTATGTGTACGTTTGGCGGAGTAATCAAACACTTTCATCTTGTTCACTTATTCTACATATAATTTATTCTCGTGAGTTCAAATATATCAGGAAATAATTTACGTGTCAGAAGAACAATATATACCTTAGAGATATAATTAAAATAACGAAAAATGTAGTGAAAACGTTCACACAACAAGTTCTGTTACCCAGTTTGATCTTCGATTAGTGAGCAGCACGATACTGTTCAGCAAAGCTTGCGACATTATTATTATTATTAGAAGATGGAGATTATCTGAAAAATTTGGTATATTTGTGCTATACATTTCAGACAATCTGATCACACATTTACTTGTCAAGTTGATGTCTATGAAAACGTTAAATTAAACAAAGTGACAAATAAAAAGGTTTAAGACTGATTAACACAACTTTTGGTAATCCAATCAAATTAGGATTACCAAGGTAGGTTAAGCGAAATAATAAACTGGTAATCCTTAGATATGATAGAGAAGATTTGTGGCTCAGGTGGATGATTTTGATGTGGTTTTGTTCTCTGAGCTGGATGGTTAGTTTGCGAAGCTTTCATCGCCTTACTGGGTGACATCTTCAGCGCATACTTCAATTTGAAGTGAGCTTTTAGATTTCTCCACGAGTTTATTAATCATCTCTCCTGGTGACCTTGGACGTGATTGGTTGTTTGTGTGTGTTTTCACACCTTCTAGGAGAGATGATTAATAAACTCGTGGAGAAATCTAAAAGCTCACTTCAAACTGAAGTATGCGCTGAAGATGTCACCCAGTAAGGTGATGAAAGCTTCGCAAACTAACCATCCAGCTCAGAGAACAAAACCACATCAAAACCTGGTAATCCTTATTTGATTGAATTTCCCAACCGTTGTGTTAATCATTCTTAAATCTTGTTTTTTGTCACTTTGTTTAATTTAACTTTTTCATAAATGTCGACTTGACAAGTAAATGTGTGATCAGATTGTTCGAAATGTATAGCGCAAATATATCACATACATTTTTCAGATAATCTCTGACTTCTAATAACGCTATCCAAATATGTAAAAAGGACTAATTGTTTTAAATTATAATTAGTATTACTACTTTCGTGAAAAAAGCAAATGTTTTATTTGGACTTGTCACTTTATCATACATTTTCTTTGAACCTGATATTCTCTGAGAATTTAGGTATGTTTTGATTTCTCTGATGCTCTGACCATCTCGTCAGTCCACTGGATACATAATTGAAATGTCATGTAAAGTTAGACCATCTAAGTCATCATAAGATATTTCTGGATATTGCATTTATATACATATATATATATATATATAATTTATTGTAAGTGATACAGTTAACTGAAGTTTGCAACTTACTACAGATCAAACAGATTTTTCCTCCTAAGCACAAAAATGCACACTTTACTGGGTGACATATATTAAAAGATATCACTGAAGGTATTTTACACAAATGCTGTGTACTTGATTTAAATAGTATGCAGCAGTATTTAGTTAAAGTACTTACAATCGATTGACTTCACAATCAAAAATTCAATATTCTTTTACATTCTTATGAGTTGTGAGTGAGACACTGGACTTTGAACTTTCGAAATCTCAATATCAACGGTGTTGTTTTACTGGATGGGGTTCCTAGATTCACCACCAACTTCCTAGCATTTTCAACCTTACTACGGGTTAGGTGTGGTTTGACAATTGGTCAGCCAGAAATCAAACGCAGACGCCATGCATGTTTGGCAAGCAATCTACAACCGAACCAAGGGTGCAATGTTCTCTGTCTACGACCACATATGATAAATACACTTTTTCATTATCTGAAATTCATATAACGAAAGATTATCTGCAGATTTCTTTTTTTCAGGTGTTGGTTTTGTAGAGAATTTTGTCTGAATGGTGGAGGAGGAGGAGGATTTCGTCATGGGCTAACATCGGTATGAGAAACATGAGAAAACCTGCAGAGATTACTGGACGACCGTTGCGTCCTAGTTTGGGATTCTTCAGCAGTAAGCACCCACCAACAGGGTTCGAACCGCCGACCTTTTGGTTACAAGGTGAGCTACCTCGTAGACCATCAAGCCACTGGGACCCAACCGATCCAATGGCCAGTCAATGCAGGAATTCCAACTACTGCCAACTCATGACACAGCGCGACCATATCGCAATGTCTTCTTCAATGAGTTACCGCCTTATCTTCAGCTTGCTGCACCTTACTGGTCACGGCTTCCCACTAGAACTTCAGGCTAACTGTCTGAATAGGACCAGTCGCTAGTTAGCCTTACATTAATTCGCAAGTACTGGTTTTGTAAGGATTTCATCATGAAAGAACCATTAGAAAACTAAACATCGAGTACTGGATAGCTGTTCCGCATGCTAGTCTGAGACTCTTCTTCATACGTCCAGTACTCCCTGCAGGTTATCCGATGGTTCTCTAACTGATATCACCTCTAGATTTCTTTTATCCTCAGCTTCAAATAACGAAATCATTTCACCTATAAATGACCAATAAATTTCAAAAATGCTTTACCGAACGTTTAATGATACTACGACTGTTTAATTGTAGTTATTAATGCCACAAACTATCGATACTTCATCGTAACAAATCAAATAATTGTCTTGATTTACAGTTACTTTAGGATTCACTTGGTAGAAATAAACAGTGCTGGTCAGAATGTTAACAGAGCATGAACGACGTTACATTTCTAAATAAATAATGATTACACTTCATAAATTACATAATGATGTTTTTCGTTTTCTCACTTTTGTTCAAAATATCACCAAAACAAAAAAACTTATCACTGTGTGTAAACTAGACAAAGATAATGATAATTTATTTGATCCACTCCTCAACACCTAAAAGTTTTCCTAACATTAATTGTAGTTTTACTTCAGTGGTGAATAATTACAGACAATACGGAAGGCAAGTGTAACACTATTTCTCCATACCCGGAGAGACTGTTTTTAGACGAGCTCGCCTACACTTACCAATATGGTTGTCAAAAAGAGAATTTCGAATAGTCACTAGCTTGATTCCGGAGTATATATTATTACTTCCGATCACCCAGCATTAGCAAAGACTGCATTTAGAGTTACAAATAAAGCACGAACAATCCTGTCGAAGGGATTTCCCCTATGTCTTCTACATACAGCTGAAGATTTGGTAATTCTTAAGCAAAATCCCGAACTTTGAGTTCACAAACGTTCCGTCCAGGCTCTTGTAATACATAGTCTAGGTGCAAAATTGTGTTCTCCCTAATTCCTGTTTGATGTCTTTATTATTTTTGTATTCTATTTTCCATCCTCTGTTCTCTTGTTGTATATCAGTTGTTTCCTAACGATAATGCACTACTTAACTGATTGGTTGTCAACACTGTCAATAGAGTGAGATTATTCACTTTTTTTACACATTATTTCTGATATGCTTTCACTTATTTTCTAACTAACTGGCAAATAACCTCTAAACATCTTTGTTGTCAGTTAGCACTGCATTTATAAATCTTCTAAATAACTGAACAGTTCTAAAATGAACTTACGAAAATAGATATCCTTGTTAGTTTATGTTTTTAACTTGTCATCGTTCACGTATTTATCACCATTACGTAATCTATAAAACTCAGATATTATACTTGCCTATTGATGTCCAACAGTGCAATCAAGAAAAAGCATTTCGTCCACTCTGAGACCACGCGAGTGATGGTGCCTTCACTGAAACTTCAAGAGCCACCCATAGTATCAAAAACTGAAGCGCTATCAACTAGATCGATCACTAAGTCCTGTCAACCAAACTGCATGCAGTGGGTATTAACAAATGTCGAACTTTTCCTTTTAAATTTTAAAACAGAAACCTCAACAAGTAAAATAAAGATTATTGATGAAGTGTTTAGTCTTCGAAATAGACAGTTGAATATATTAGAAAAATATCCTGTCCTTTTTACTACCTCTAGTAAATTATTTCCATTGACATGTCTGCATGAAAATGTCTCACTCGAGAAATAAATTAGATGAAGAATGAATTTTTCGGACTTGAATATGTATATATATATATATATGCAGTTAAACTCACAGATTTTTCAAACGTTTTACACTCATTCTATTATTTGAATCAATCGGTTATCAGTATGTTCAAATGATAGTACCTGATAGTTAAAAAAATTTATTACTTTCAACAATCTCTTAGTGTGAACAAAAAAACCTGTGGTACTGCAGCCATTGTCTTTCTCTGATGAAATGAGTAATATTCTGTTAGGTCACTGAAAGTTAATTACCAATAGCTGTTCTGCTTTATCCTACATGTATATACGACCATAAATTAATGATACCTTTCATGAAGATTATTGCTGAATGACAGAAAGTGATGCAAGTTTACTCCATAGGAAACGGCTCACTGTAATAGGGAATGGACCATTTCATGTTTTAACATGCTTCAAGAGTGTTGATTCATATTCATTTCTCTTTATTGCTACTTTCTGAGTCTTGTCTACATGATACAATCAGAAGAGAGCATAGGCTATTCACTGTCTTCAGCAACGTACTTCTTTCTTTATCATACTTAATGACATAATAAATTTATTCTAAGTGATATTAATTATACTGAATGGCAGTTTTAAAGTTTGTTCTGATTGCAAGAATATATTGAGTTGATTCAAAATAATAAAACTATAAAAACTGAAGTTATTCAAATATAATAAGAATTAATGTACGTTATAATAATTCTGGTTATAATTTGCTGTTTATTAAATTAAATTTTAAATTTTATTATAGCTTGATTCCACACAATATTTTGGTACAGTATGAAATTTTCAGCATGTGATATCAGTGGTCCAAATTTAGCGAGCTGACCATTGATATCAGGCCGGGAGTCAAACCCTGGACCATGTACATGGTCGGCGATCGTCCTAACCGCTGTGCCGCCGACGCACAGATTTAAGAAGGGGCTATTTAAATATCAAACAAGACGAACATAGATATTTCACTAGAAGAATTCAAATGCCTAGCAACAACAATATCAGTTAGTTTAGTCAAAGGCAAACACCACCATTACTACCTGCAGCCTTCAATATTCTACGTAATGAACAGAGTCTTTTTTGAGGAGTCCAGGATAGAATAAGTGGAAACAATAAAGAAGGAAGTATAAATTACATGGATCAATAAACTGTAGGAGAAGAGGTTGATTTATGCCAGCAGCAAGTCCTAACTTCTTTAGGTAATCAGTCAAATGAAAATTTTCTTAGAAATTGACAGGATATGAGACAACCAACACAGAATCAAAGAAAAATTGATGCAAAGATAGCAAATATTCGATCTACTCCATATCACATTGCTGCTGATATTACGAAAGTTATGGAACTGAATCAGTCCACGCAAGTCTTGTTCACGTCTGAAACTAAAATCAATAGTATGACATTTAAAGGGATTTAGTTTAAGACTATTCGAATGAGAGTATTTGTTAACCTCAGATTAGAAGTTATTCATATCAGAACAATCCAATGCAGAAAGGACTGGAAAAGAAATGGTCAGATCATCGACATATTTGGTGAAAGTAGCTTTGAAAGAAAATGGTAGTCATGCAAAAAGAAATGGAGATGGCACAGTACCTTGAGGTACGCCAGTCTACGTTAGCAATGAAGTGGAGCACTTTCTATTTAGGACAGTATATTGTTTTCTACTGGAAGAGTAAGAATTTTTTATTTTTATTTTTTTGATTACAGCTTGATTCCACACTGTATTTTTGGTACAAGTATGGAGTTTTCAGCATGGATATCCGTAGCCCATAGATATCAGGTGTGCGTCAACATGCCATCGAACCTCAGACCATGTGCATGGTCGGCGAGAGTCCTAACCACTGTACCACCGACGCACCTGTGTGTGTTTTGGACGCAGGACTCAGTGCGTGTTGAAATCAACTTGCTTGGTAAAAGTGCCCTCGGAATAAAGACAAAAACAGCAGTGTACTGTTAAAACGGGACATATACAAACTTTTTACTTATATCAAGACTTTAAACAACAGTGTGGTGGGATACAACGGTTGCATCCAAAGTGCTTTTTGGTGAGAGCTGGTGACTAGCCAAACTGGTGGACAGTTATTTATGTCCCAAATATTGGTCATGAGAAAAATAAGAACAAAGTCTTTGCGTAGGCGGATACAGTAAGCATATAGATGATCTGGCATTCAAGAAACAGCCAAAAACAGATGAAAGATTAACTTTCAGTGAGAAACAACCAATCAGAAGACTGTGTTTTTCTGCTAACAATACTCTATAATAATGTACATGAAAATCTATAAAACTGTGTTGATTTCCTTAATAAACGATCTGTTGCCTGGCCGTTATCTTCTGTCGTTACACTTTTACTGCATGAAATGATAAAACCTAGGCACTTTGGTAGACTATAACTTGATTATGGATAACATTTTATTCCATATCAATGATTATGAGTAGTAATTTGTGATCGAAAACGTTATCAGTAAATATCACTGTATAATAATGCGTGAATTTATTAAATTAAAATCTTATAAATCATATCCATGCTTTTACTGCATTTATAAGCAGACTGCTTTGAGGCACTAAGAGATTTCAAAGAGGGTGTATGAACAAGCAAGAAAAGTTCCTCGATAGCTTTCAGAAATGAAGACGTGACGGCAACTGGCCTAAATTTAAACCTGATCTAGAAGATGATTACAGAAATAGTAGTATGGGTTTTTATTTGACTCATTGATGTAATAATCAGTTGGACTATTTATGAGCTTATAGTTAGCGTAAGACTTACCTTGATTCACCTGAAATACAGAAATAAAACATTAGAAAAAGTCCTCCAATTATGCGAACCATACTAACATCTTTGTTGAATGAAAGAGCAAAACTGTATTTTTTTGTCAAGTCATCTTGTCAACTTTCAAACGAAGAATTACAAGCTTTTGAAGCAAGTATATGTGCAAATGATCCATATTGTGATTTGTTTGACAAATTGCTCTTCACTCTGATTGAGACTTATTTTATGAGAATCGTCTTCCATTTTCTAAACTGACGGGAATCTCTGTACATGTGTTGCTTACTACTCATATATCACGAAGACTACTGGATTCCGAACATCTCTTAATTGGTCCCTTTACTGAATTCCACTCGCCATTTTAATAAACACGTGCACATTGGCATAAGTTTTACTGCTGTTGCGAGTGTGTTTTGTACATCAGTTCACTACATGATTCCCATTCGGGCTCCACTCGAAAGCATGCATGGCATGTGATGTAACTCAGCGCTCCCCATAATATATGCCCAACAAATGTTCATTTTCCTTGACAAATATTCAGGTGATACCTACTTGGTGGGTTCGTTGCCTTTTGAATTCATTTATTGCTCATCGCCTATGGCCATCCCATCTTCGTTATCGAACAACGGCAGTTGATGATGAAAGTCTGATACCTGTTCGAAATGCTTTCCGATGGGCGTTTGACATCTCCATTCCAGCCGTCTGTCTCTAGCCCGCTAATTTCGAATCTCCTGTAGTCTTCTTATCGATCCAACGTAATCTTTCTTCTCGTTCTCTATGGATGGCTGCATGGTCTAGCCCACTGCAATCACAAATTTAATGAGCGACAATAGGCATCGTTGTCTTACTCCTGTCTTCTCACCAAAAGCTTTACTGAAATTTCTGTTGTGAACCTCTAGACATATAGCGCCACCGTATGGGTTTAGGGCATTCTCTATTGTTAAATAAGTACCCAGATCACTTCACGGACAACACTATTGAAGGCTTTTTAGAAGTTGGTGAATTTGAGGTAGACAGATTTGACTGCCATTTTTAGCTCTGTTGTTGGAGAAACGCAGCGAGGCGAATAAATCCCCGTATAACTTTCTCATAATAAGAAATATGTGCGTAATGAAAATTTATTTGTCAAATCATACGAGCAGGAATTCTCTTATAATTCCTTTCAGTCTTATCTGATAAGTTATGCATATAAAGCGTAACAAGATTCTGATAAGATGATTTTTTGCTATCTCGTCTATAAAGTGTAATCACTTACCTTCGTCAAGCAGTAGGCTTATAATGAAAAGCAGTAGTAAAGGAAATCTTCCCTTGAACATCTTCTGTCAGTTTGTTTTGCTCTATGGTACAATAGAAAAAAAGATAGCATATATATATACTCATTAGGCATAGATTAGAAGTACTCGTAACTATTATGTAACACAAAATCTCAACGCCTACGCATAGTATTTCTCTTAACACCTGAATTCAATCTTATGATAACAAAACATTGACTAATTACCAATTAAGTACAATATTCATAATATCTTATATATGTAAACAATCTTGAATTAGTCAATCAAAATTTCTTCTGTCTTTTGTAGAACAATCAAGAAAACACGACTTTCTATTATCTCTTATTATTCAGACAAATCTATGTTATTTATTCCTACAAGTGCTACTGGAGATAAAGTTTGTCTCATTACGTTCGTATGGGTTTCAATTAATACAAAGAAATGTGCTGAAAACTACTAATTCCAAGGAGAATGCATTTTCTGCATTTTATTGATTATATTCTTCAGATGTTGACAACAGATTCTCCGTCGAATGATATTGACAAAAGGATTTAACTCAATGAATTATGCATAGCTATAATTCGTCATTTGTGCAGCATAATTCAGCGATGTTGTTCCGGATTCGTCCAAGTGTCCATGAACTGATCCACTGAACCCCAACTGATAAAAGAATAGAGCTTAAGCGTTATAGTAGGAACGCAGGCAAAACATCCTCAGAACATTGTATCAGGCAAGCAGGTCCTTATCCGGGAAGAGACCAGCACAGATGAAACCAATGACCGATAGCGAAGGGAACCTTAAATTCCAGGAGAAGAAGCAAAGGAAACAGTAAGCTAGTCACTTCAAAACACCTCTGAACTGACCACCATCTGTAACTCATTCAGAAGTATAACCAACAATCATAGTTTTCCAATGGAACACAATTCTTCAAACAAAAGCAGTTTTGAAGGCTATAAAGCTACTGAAAGCAAACCAGGAAAGCAACAGCAGAAAACAGAATTTTACTAGAAGCACTGAAAACTGATTAAGAGAGCGCAGTCGAAAGCTTAACACAACGTTCGTAAAACGTTTGGAGGAAGGAAAGGTATCTTCTGGTTTAGAGAAAGGCCGCCGTGTCAAACTACCAAATAAGAGCGTTTAGGCCTTTGCGAAAACTGAAGCGAAATTCTTTCTCTATACACCTTAATCAACTTATTATTTGTGTCATTCTGGAGAGACTAAAGATATACTAGTTGTAAAACTCCACCCAGAATAGGCTTGATGCAGGAACGCAAATCATATGCGGATCGAAATGCAACACATCGTGTCATAGTTTAATGGGGCAAAGAACAGAAGGCAGGCTACTATTCCATCTTCACTGACTTCGAAAAGACCAACAAAAGCTTTGGCAGCAGAGGATTTGGGAAACTGCTTCAAATCTGGGTCAACCACCTTTCTGCAGCTATATGATTATGTAATATGCCTCGTGATTAACAGCGAATAATGCAGCGAAACTTTTGAAGATACCTTAGCGACAACAAACAAAAATCACTAAAAGCGAAAGAAATTTGAACGAGGCCATTTCTTCAAATTATTTTGGAAGCGTCGTTTCAACTGCAGGCTGAACGTAGGAAGATACCAAGGTAGGACTGGAAAGGCAAGATATACATTCATTATATTTGAAATCGGTTTGGTAATTTGCTGCATCTAGCACAGAGAACAAAGTCCAGGTGTTCAAAACTAATCTCAAATCAATTCTTCTATATTGATGAGAAACTTGACACGTCACGAAACGCATCTCCAAACGGACTGCAGACTTTTATCAACAGCTGCAATCGACTGATAGTGAATATCTAGTATTCAGCAAAAAACGATAAGCAACGGAAAGTTATGGGAAGGAACCTTCAAAGAACTTGTTGCTCAACAGATATGTCTGGGGAAATTGAAATGGACTGAACAAACACTGAGAAGATGGTCAAGTTACATCGTGAGGGAGGACCTCAAGAAAAACCTGAAGGAGAAACGATAAGTCGGGTGAGAGTCCTATGTAGAGATACAGGAGAAGAGAGCTTATGGAAAATCATATGGTTAGCTAAGAAGTTTTTCAGAAAACAGAATAAAGTGGAGATATTATTTGGTTGTCCTACATTACACTCAAAATCCAATTGATTAATAATAAATTCAATAATATTAGAGTGTAACTTCATAGTAGAGTGAATTTATCTGATAGAGGCACACAATGATACAGTATTACTGTCTGCACATTTTGCCCGGGAAACAAATATGGTAGCAATGGAATCTCTAGTGTCCACAACCATGGCAGATATCTTATAAGATCATTGAGAAATATGCTTTTTAAAACAATCAATCCAACTGCAAAGATATGGTGAAGAAATGTGGATGACACTTCCACTCACAATGTCAAGTCAGAACAGGTATCTAACTTCTACACATAAATAAACCCAATAGTAAAGAGAATAAAATTTACTTTTGAGTCAGAAAGTGACCACAGAGAATTAGCCATGCTAAATTGTAAAATAAAACGAACAGAAGAATGTAAGCTACGCACTAGCGTTTACAAAAGCTAATTCATTCCAAATAGATATTTAGATATTAATTCATCTCACCCGTTATCTGTAACAACAGATCGAGTAATAACTCTCAGTACTACATCAGAAAACTTGAATAATGAAATGAAACTGACAGAAGAAATGAGCTTCTGAATAAATATCTCACAAAATTTTTAAAGAAAACCGAAAAGATCACAAGAGAGGGAAACACAATGGTGGAACTATTAACTTTAACTTAAATGAGAGAGAATTTAAGGTATCTACGGTTTAACTATATGAGAAAACGACACCTGAAACCCTACATAGGATTCTTAATGGAAAAAGAACAAGGGTATCATTCAAACCCTACAACCTAATGAAGGATGAGCCTTTGTAGACTAAATGTGTGTACTGAACCTGTTGGAAAGAATAACGTATTCTACAAAATACCTTTTGGTAACATGAAGTCAGTTGCATAGACCAATGTAGTATTGACAGGTGCTAGTGAAATTATAGAAATTTAGTTATGTTTGAAATGGTTTAACCCAAGAAAAACGAATAGTCTAGAGAAAAAGTCAGCAATTTCAATGAACATATTAGCACGCACTCATACGACAGGGTGGGAGAGAGCTATGTTTCTGAGATGCAATGTAAGCAGGTGGAGGGCGAATTTTATCATTGAATCTTTGTTGATCAAACCTAATACACCTACAGTGGAACAAGCACACTACCCAAGATCATAGATATGGAAAACATTACTACCTACCATAAAAATCAATGGATAAGAGAAAATGGAATTTTTAAATGAAGTTAGAAAGTTAGGTGAGTGTCTCGATGTGATAAATGAATCTAAGCAATAAATCGTCCTCGAAACGTCATCACTAAGTAACATTATTCATTGAGGTGTTATCAGATAAATTATCTCTGTGTTTAAGACTTTGTGATTTTAGCGGTATTCAATTGCCTTAATCAATCAGTACTGTATCGTTTGTCGTATTTAGTAACCGTCTATATTTCTAGTGAAAATCACTTACTACTTATTTCATAAATTTGGTAATCTACTATCCTTACTGTACAAGACTGTTTCCGCTTTCAAATGTCAGATAATCATCGATTAAAGTTGCGTTGTGCGTCGATGGTATAGCGGTTAGGACGCTCGCCGACCATGCACATGGTCCGGGGTTCGATCCCCTACCGACGCACTCCTCTACCTCGCTGAGCCAGAACTAATGCTGGTAAAGAGGAAAGGTTGGGCATGAGGCTAGCAACCCCATCCTGTAAAAATTAAACACTGCTACATTAACTTCAAGCCACTGGCTTGAAGCCCTATGTTCCACTGGGGAACGTGAAGGAAAAATTATTATTTATTTAAAGTTGCCTAAAATAGAAAGGTAGGATTACCTATTCACGTTTACTATGCACTAATTGTTTAAAACGAAAAGAACTTCATAGCACTTGAATGTTGAAGTCGTTAAAGTTAAGAGATTTCATAACTACCACATTTTACTTTGTTAATGATTATCAACTGTAAACATAATTACAAGTAATTACAAGAAACTTCAGTGAAACAATAATGATTTAACTGTCTAGTAAAGTGAATTGGTGTTTCTAATACAGTAAGCTATAAGTGAGTGACTTCGGTTTATACATATATATATATATATATATAAACGTATGTATAAACAGATATATATATATATAAACATATGCACGTATTAACAATAACAATTTATTAAGTTAAAAGCCTAACAAGCGTAATACCTGATTTCGGATATATATATGTATAATGAAGTTTTGGAAATCTATCCTTTTAACAGCAATATTTATCATAGTGCTTGAAATTCGTGAGTTAGAATAACAAGTTAGCAAATTATGTGACGCAACATATTTAACAGGACTGAGCACAGTTTAACTAAAATCAGTAGAAGGTCAAAGCAGGATCAGTGTCACAGTATTAGACATGTATTAGTGGGAAACGAGAAATGATAGAATTCCTAAACAGATATTTTACCAGTGAATTGTTGAGATCAATCAGTCTTCTGTCGCATTATTACACTTTCACTGGTTATCGTATAAATCTTGACTTAACCTTCTATTGATGTTAGTTCGACTGTACTCAGTCTCTTCAACTAGACTATTTCACTCAAGTTACATTACACTACTTGAGTATTGTTTCCGTATTACGTAATTTGGAATCTTTTTTAATGTAGTGTACAGCTGAAAATTGAAAATGATACATCTTTGGAAAGTATCAACAATAGAAGAAAGTAGTGTGACATACGTGTTAGTGCAACCTAATTTTTGTCGGTTACCTGTGATTTCATATGCTTTATATGTCGATAAGAAGATTCATTAATTTCTGTGTCATTTTATTCACTTACCCTTGACATTACTTGTTACACTGTATTTTATGATTTTACACACTTTGAGTGTACGTGACATGCATGTCAAATCTGGTTTACGGTTCATTAAACACATTCTATCTAACAATCTACACTAATTTAATTCAAAATGATAAAATGGAGCCATTCAGAGACG